TTATTCCCGAGCGATAACTCATTAAGGTCAAGAGTGATCGAATGGTAGCTCGAGTTTATATACAACAATATAAATGGTGATTAACGGGACGAGATTTTGGATTCCAATGTTACGTCCGAAATGATGTTTTAATCATTTTGTTATATAAATGACATGTGTTTATGATGATGTCACTAATTAATTATACGCTGTTAATCATCCGATGAAATGAAACATGACTTTTAAAACATAAAACCTTTCATCATTAATATGTTAGTTGTATTCTTCACATACTTTTTCCGAAGAGTTGAATTAGTGGTTCTGAAATAGTCAAACATGGCCAGATATTGTAACTCATAAATGTTATTTAAAGAGTTGAGACAAATTGTGCCTCGTAATTACACCATTAGTATTAGTATTATTTTAGGGAAATACTAAGGTCCCGTTACGGAACTATTCCGTCGAGATTTATAACCGTATGATACAATGGTTACCAAAGATGACATCCACGGCCCAATAAGCCCGATACAGGAAGATAACAAATTGATATATAATAGATAGCAAAAATATATGATGGATAACAACTCACTATTTATATTTTTACATGCATAGTTTAAATCACCAGCATATAATTCCGTTGACATTTTCAATGGTTGTGATTAATAATAAATTACAATCAGAAAAAAATTATGCTACTTAGCCAACCTCCATTACAACTTGGTTTACAACTATGTGTAATGGAGGCATTAAAAAATGCAATAATGCACATTTTTCAATGCCTCAATTACACATGGTTGTAAACCATGTTGTAATGGAGGATGGCTATATAGCATCACTCATCAGACAATGATAATAATAATTAATACAATTCAACTATGATAGGAATTAAAATATGAAAACATAGCCAACTATCTAATTTATATGGATCATGATGTGGTCAGGCCCAACTCAGGAAATGTACTCTTAATTCACCATATATTCATTCTTTTATCACTAATGTTAGATTAGGCTGTTGATTTATTTTCAATGTAATGGGCCTAAAGCCCTTTATGAGGGTGTGGCTTGTTTAAAGCTCGTTTAGTCGAGCCGCGCTCACCGTTCGTAAAGACAAAAATTTGAGAGTATGATTTCTGCAAAATGTTTTGAATATTTTATCTTAGCTCGGCTTGTTAATATTAATAAACGAACATAACCCGATTCAACTGGCCTATAAAGACTTGAACTTAAACACATTAATTATATAGGCCTTGTTTGGTAATCAGCGGTTAGCTGTTAGCTGTTAGCGGATTACATTAGTTGTTTTGACCAGCTGATCGTGTTAGCGGTTTGTAAAAAAGTGTTTGGTAAAATTAGCTATTTTAATTAGCTCTTAACATGTAAAATTACTTATAAAGACATCAACATACTTTATCATTCTAATTCTAATTTATGTTCAACTTATAATTACAT